AAATGTAGTGATTGAAAATAAAACAATTGGTTTTAAAAATAAGCTATATTTTTATAAATTGTTTTATTTGCTCAAAAACACATTTCAATTTATTTCAATGATGCAAAGAAATTTGTAACTTTTCTTGTAATTAAAAAATGAACCGAACTTTCATTTACTCAACAACCTTTTTTATTATGACTATATTCAAAAATCAAAAATGAATTAATATTATTCCATTTTTAAAAAATTGATCAATAATTTGTTGAACATATTTTAGGTTTAGTTAAGATAATATATTTATTGTTTAGATTAAAAATATTATATAAGGTACAGTTTATTATAAAAACAACAAAAAAACAACTACAATCAAAAAATTCTATTTGTCGTAATTATAATTGTCGAACTTGCTTAATTGTCGCACAACTAGCCAATCATTTTGGTGTACAACAATTAAATATTTTGTTCTCGAATCTGTAACTTTTGTTGAATTAAAAACTATTTTTTTTTAAAAAAAATAAATTTCAATATTAAAAAGAATTTTCTACAAAAGCCACTCATTTACGACAAATAGATATTTTTTTCTGCTGGATTCACGACAAATAGACGCCTTTGCTGTATATAATTGATTTGTATTAGTATTTAAACCATTAATTATATTATTTAGTTAATAAGAATAAAAATACTAATAAATAATCAATTGACAATATACGTTATGAAACCATTTCTAATCGTTAATTAATTATATTTATCAACCATTCAAACATTATAAATAATACAAAATACAAACAAACAATAGTCGCACGTAATTTGCATTATCTAATTGTTAATTTATATGTGCGTGATGTGTAAATAAGTATTACAAACAGTTTTGGGCATCAGAGCTAACTCAACACAGAGCTACCGTTTCGGTTGTTTGCATTAATCGTATCTTTGAGCTGTTTATTTTTATTTTAAGTTTATTTAAAAGTTTTAAATAAATTGTTCATATAAAAGCCACTTTTTAAACAATATTTAGTCATTTTAATAGTTTATATTAATATAATAATAATAATATGTATAGTTTGTTGTCTTGTTATAAACAATTTATTTATTTTTTTGTTATTATTTTGTTATTTTCAAAAAAACAAAATTTAAATATTTAATATATTATTATTATAACAAATAGTAAATATTATGATAAAAACATTTTCTGTAACTTTATAATGTGCTGTTAAGGTTTAATATAAAGTTGTTTCAAATTATTGTTCAGTTGATGTACAATCATTTGCACATAAACATTTTTTGTTTTTATTCACAATGTTATAAAAGATTAATTGTGCCAAAAATGGTTAAATCTTAACTTATTTATTTATTTTTGAACCAATTTCTAAATCGGTGATATTCAATACACAACCAAGCCTCAATAACACATCTCCACGAAAACACATTTGATTATTATTCATAAGTATTATAGCTACGATAGTTTTTTTATCGAAGAGACATTTGACATTTGTCTTGAAAAAAAAAATCTCATATTATTTTTACTATAAGTTACTATATTATAGAATTTGTCACATGATAATCGAATATATTTTTAAAAATAAAAAATCAACAAACTATTAAAAATTAAAAAATATTGTTTATATCAGTAAACTATTCATATGGTTTGTATTATAGTATTTGTCATTTCTAAATAAACACAATTTTAAAACCCTGTAATAATTGATTAAAAATGCGTTAAAAAAACAAGCTGTTTTTATGTCAGTACAGTTTAATTTAAATCGAACCCAAATTATTTTTTATTTTTGAAAAAAACAAAAAAAAGAAGTAAAGAAACTTAAAATACCCTACTTTTCTATATTTTATATATTTTGGAAGTAAAAATATACAATAATTGTGATAAAAGAACAAAAAAGAAAAAAGGTGCGGGTTTCTCTCCAGGTTTGGCTTTCTTCCCTCACTTCAACATCTGCTTTTACAACATTTCAAATTACACAATAAATAAGAAATCGTATTTTTCACTTCAAAACGAGATTATTAAAAAGTTGAAAACGTTGGTTATTTACTCAAAACAAATTGCCACTCTCTTTATATTAAAGTGTGAATTGTGCGAATCATGCGAAGAAATTTCGATATATAAAACAACGATTTGAAAAAGATGTGGGGCATTTTGGTTCAAAACAAACACGTCTTGTGGAGTCTTAAAAACTTGAAGAAAATCAGAGTCTTTTCGAATGACAATTTACACTTGGAAAAGTTGTTAATTTTTACTGAAGGTGCACCCACACTTGTTTTCTGTATTTATTTAAATAACGAAGAATTTGACATGACAAATTAAGAAATGTATCAGAAGTTGTGCAAGTGTGCTAATGTTGTGATACAGACGATAAACAATTTCAGTGCATTTCTTGACAAATCAAACACGTCAGACTACAAAGTGTCGTTCAGAAATATGAAGAAATGTGTTGAAATAGACAGCACACAAATAGAAAAGCTCACATTGTTTTCAAGTAAATACTCACTGTTTTTTGATGAAGTGGTGATAAATAACACTGAATTATTCAATACTCAACATATTGACGTGTCAGAAATAGAATGCAAAGATGTTGTTATACACAACACGAGCAAAGAAAATGTTATAATAAAAATATCAAAAGAGACAAATAAAGTAACTTGTAATCCAACAGAAAACGTGTTGCTGTGTTGTGTCGAAAATAGTGATATATTAATAGAACAGACCTTTGTCACACGATATTTGAAAACTTGGTATGATTTCGACTTCTTTTTCGATGACGCAACCAACGAATACGACTCGGAGTTTCTTGAAGAAGTGGCAAATCAGATGGAAATATTGAGCTTTGGAAATTACAATTCAGTCACCACAAAAGTATTGGAAGTGACTGAAACACCAAAACCAATACCAAAAGTCATGGAATTTTCTCGACTGAAATGCTTAAAACTCAAATGGACAACATATTTTTTGAATTATAATTTGGAGTGTTTGGAACAACTTGAACTTGCAAGTATTGGTGGAGGAATAAATCGTACAAACAAGTCGACTTGAGTCGATTTCATCTCAAAGATTTACACTTGGACAATTGTTATTACATTAATTTTGACCTTCCAAGTACTTTGACTGGCCTCACTGTTAGTCATTCGTGTTCTTTACAATTGAATGGAGCAAACAAAATCCATTTAAAGTCGTTGGTGTTAGACCATATTCTAGGCATTTCAAAGAAATGTGACTCAGCAATTAAAGGGAAAAACATAGTGGTTGATCATCCCATTTGTTACAAAGAAAAACTTGATAACACAGAAGAATTTAATATAGATTCATACGTAGACACTTTTGAGTATCGAGAAGTTCATATAGACATCGCTTTTTGGAATCACGATTTGTTGATTAAAACCACTGTTTGGAACGAGTTGTGGAATAAGCTGTTCAATAACATAAAAACAAGCCCTCACTATGTAAACAGAAGGGAGTATAAGGAATACAAAGATAATGAAAACAGCACATGTAATGCAGTCTTTATTTTGGATGATAGAACTTTCCAAGGAAATGCATATTTTGAATTTAACAGGATGGGCGGAATTTGTGAAATTGGAAATTTTGTTTTAAAGACCACACAATACAGACACCAACACAGTTGACACTACCAAATGGACTCACAAAAATTGGATTTGGTGCATTTCAAAATCTGACTTCCATAAGTGTCATTAAACTTCCTGAAACAATAAACAGTTTACCTTATAAGTGTTTTGCAAATCTGATAGCTTTGACTGAAATTGCAACACCAAATGAGTATATTGAAATCGACGACTTTGCATTGTGGAGATGCAAAAATCTCATAAATTACCCAAAATTTGTGGTCTCAAAACATTCATGTTATATTGACAAGTACCTCATCAGATTGTGCAAATTGAAGGATATCAAAGTGCCACGTGTTGTTGATAACATACCCGACAGATGTTATGCGGGATGTGACACGCTTGAATCTGTAGAATTTGATTTGAGCGTCAGTTGTATAGGAATGGGTGCTTTTGTGGGATGTACAAATTTAAGTCGAATAAATTTGAATGAAAATGTTACACTTGATAAACACTTGGTTTTTGCAAATTTGGTATCTCTGTGTGAAATCGAGTTGCCACCAACACTCCATAAATAAGAAATTTCATGTTCAAAAATTGTGTCACACTTGAGAGTGTAAAAATGCACGAAGGAATCACAAAATTTGGAGACTCGGCTTTTGAACGGTGTGTTGTTTTAAAAGCAATACACATACCCAAAACAGTGCAAAAAATAGGAATTTTGTGTTTCAAAGAGTGTTATTGTTTATCTGAAATACATTGTTCAAACACGTTGAAAATGTTACCCACAAGTCTGAGAAAAATCGAAAACACAGTTAGTGTGTTGCGTTTTAATTGACATAATGGTATTTTATTTTATTCCGTTTGTTCAATCAATTATGTTAAATACAATTGTGTCTATTGTTATTTTTCGATTGTTTAATAACAACTTGTTATTAAAATTAATGAATTATTTAATATTTTTAATTATATAAAATATGTTATTTTAGTGAATATTACTTTTCTTAATTCAAATGATTGTAATTGGTTTATTGTCTGTGGAATTTTACTTGATTTTATAGACAATTGTTTAACATCAAATAAATCGGGACATTACAATGTTTTGTTTTGGTAAAAAATCAAAACATCACGAATTGTGATTGGTTGTTTATTTCAACGATTAAACAACTGTTGAAATAAAAATGTCTACAATTGAGAGTTATCATGGCATGATAGTTTCAAAGTATTTCGATACGATAAAAGACTATATCAATCTTGAGTTGACTGGCAAAGAATAAATGACCAGCAAACTATAAAAATGGTTTCTGAAAACTATTTAATAGTTTTTCAATAAAAATTTTGAAAAAAAGACAAAAAACAAAAAACTATAATGTACTATAAATTATTCTATGCCGGTCGGTTTACTGTATTTGGTTAATAATGAACAGATAGAAATCTATATATAATATTTACCTGTTAACCCTTCGAGGACTGAAAATTTTTTATTTTTTTTCTTTTTTTTTCAGAAAAAAAAAATTTCAAAAAATAATTTCACTTTTCCAAAAAATGAAAATAATGGCGACTTTTCTTGAACAATTTAGAATGATTTTTGACTTATTTGATAAAATAGTTCAACTCAAATTCAAACTTTTGAATTATTTATAAAACATTTCGTCATTCATAAACTCAAATTAATTGATCTTTGTTAAAGATTTGTCCTTCAATTAAAAAAAATATACAATTTAACAAATTAATATTAGTAATATAAATAATACGAAAATAAACTGTTTTTATAAACAAATAAAAATGTTAATAAAAATTGATTAAATAATATTATCAGGTATCCAAGTTTTTCAAAAAAACTATTTAAAAAACACTTAAAACAAGTGCAACAATTTGGGTTCGATATAACCAATAATATTGGTTCAAACCAAAATAAAATAAGAACACAACAAAAATATTGTTGTTGAAATAAAAAATGGATTCCACTCAAAATAAAATACTTAGAGAACCAAATAACATCAAAATATTACGATAAAAACCCACTGCTTACTATTAATTTTGTTCTTTATTGTATTAACACAACAATAACATTAAATAATAATCTTATATAATAAAACAACGCTATAAAACATCAATTTAAGTCGAGAAAAATAGCAGTTTTGGATACATTATACAATGGATGACAAAAGAATAATAAATTGTATAGTAATTTTAATTATAAATAAACTATAATAATCAACCTCTGAATAATATAACTGATAGTAAATTTATTATATATTTTATAATTGATTATTACAATAATTATAACAATAATTATTAAAACTAAACCAAATAAACACCAATATGAATATAATTAAATTAAGCCAAGCACGAACAGCCTTGATTAAGCTTATTCGTTTTTTATTTACAACTTTCTCATTTTCATGTTTGTCGTTGATTTTTTGATTGATTTTCCACCAGACAAGACGATGTTTCCGTACAAGTTCTTTCTGATGTCGACATTGCACTTCATGATTGAGTTGTAAGTTGTCTCGTGGATACCAGATGCTTCCATAACAAGGAATGATGGCTAGTGGTGCTTCTGGATATCTGAATCTCTCGTTGCCAATGGTGATGACTTGACCCTTCTGGAAGTTCGTATGACTTCTCGTATTCTGATGATGGGGCAGCCTTTTCTATTTCTTCGTTGAAGTCAAGAGCGACATGGCAGAGCTTCTCCTTGATGTCTCTAACAATTTCTCTTTCAGCAGTTATAATAAAAGCATAACATCTCTCAGTCAAAATCTTCATGAAGTAGTCAGTGAGATCACGACCAGCCAAGATCAATTCTGAGGAGTTTGGGAGTTAAAAACTTAGATTGGGATGGCGGGAAGAGTGCTTTTTGTCATCTGAATCTCTAGTTTCCAATGGTGATAACTTGACTGTTTGAAAAAATGTTTTATTTTTCGAGTTTTGATGATGAGGCAAATTTTTGCATTTTTTCGTTTAATCAAATGCAAGGCGGTAAAGTTATTTATAGTAATAAGTAGAGTAGAACAAACAACCCAAATTTTTAGATATTGACTTTGGAAGTGAGACGCTACCCTCGAATGGCTTCAGGGATTGTCACCCATCACTCCCGCCATGGGAACACGTGAACGACGCATCTCCAACCTTCTTAGCCAACCCAAATCAGTGATTTGAACGTCTGTCAATTTATGAATAGGAGTCAATTTGGCATCATTCAGTTTGAATCCAATAACACGTATTCTGTTGATTAAACTCGTCCTTGACTTTACACAGTTGCTAAGAACGACTATAAACTAGATCTTTATAAAGAAGTAAAAAAACTTCAATGAATTCAACGTTTTTGTTGAATTGAAGTCGATAAATGGCGTCTCTCTTTAAATGTTGTCTCTGAAAATGATGTTCTGGTTGGAAATACTGGGTATTTGGTGCAAAATACTGGCAAGGATTTAATGGATCATATTTGACAGATGGGTCACAGTGGAGATATTGCAAACATCGATTATAATTGCAACAACAGTGGCAAGGTGGTGGTGCATGAAAAACGGGGTTTTCAACCTCTTGTTGAGTTTCAGCTATTATATTCTGTTCATTTCTACTTTCACTCATTATAGCGACTATGTTCTGTTCTTCACCACTGTCATGGTGTTCCAATTCTCTGTCTTCTGTTCCATTTTTTTCGTGTCGATCTTCCATCTCCTCGTTGTCTTGAACTACGAGCAAACTTGTGACTTCCTTATCTACAGGCTGTTTGGGGTGCTTGTAAAATTCTCGGATCTCATCGACACTATCATCAAAGAAAAACACTAGTTCATAGTTATCCATAGTTGTGCCTTCTGCTATTTTTTTAAAGGTGTCATGTTCTTCAGGTTTCAAAGATTTGAACGTCCAACTTTCAACAGATACATATTCTCCAAGAAACTGTCCATTTTGCAGTTGATTGTAAGTATACAACGAGTCTCTGTTTAAGTCTATCATCGGGTTGAACATCAAGGTGTCGCGAATTGAAATCAATTTTGATTCGGCAAGTTTTTCTTTGACTTTCAAAGTGCACTGAGTTTGGTAAAATGCTCGACACTGTTCTTTGTTTTCAAGTCGAAGAATATGAGAAACTCTGTCGAGATAATCAATGATAGATATTGTGTTATCCAACAACAGTATAGCTTCATGTTTAAGAAGTTTATTGATTAATTCAGTAGTGTTCCTCCCTGTCTTGTCCGACACAAGAAATTTTTCTTTGTCGTTGATCAGCGTTGAAGTAATTAATTCGATCAGTGCAATTAGTTCTACTCTTTTTTTATTTTATCATTAATGTTTTTATGGGAACTTTCAGAGTAGTTATCCGTCCTTATTGCTTTACCAAAGCAACACCACAATTTATCAGGAAATGTTGGTTTGGAAAAACCATCTCCGAAATAATTTCGAATTAAATAGTCCCACAGATGCTTCAAAGACGTTTTACTCACATTGTTGTTGTTAACCTTTTCAAACTCCTCGAACAACAATTGAAGTGTTTTGATGGTAATCAATTCGATAGGTAGGAGCGCAGTTCCAATAATCCGACGTACAAATAATTTAAAGTGGTTGTTGTTACGATAAGCACAAGAACAAGCAACATTCCTACTTTCAACTTTACGAAGTATGCTATGTGCAAAGTGAAAGTAGCATCCCTGAAATTCAACAGCCGGAAAACATTTTTGGAAAGTGGTTATAGCGGCCATTTCGAAATCTCCTAAAAACACCTTTTTGTTACCAAAAATTGATAAACCTCTTTGGTTAGCCAAATTTTCAACTGCGGCAAATATTTGGGAGCAATTGGCTTTTGATTTACTTTTCATTTTTATAAATAAACATGATACTGCCACTTCGTTTACAAATGCGTGTAATATATACATTTGTCTTTCGTTGTTAACTACTTTAAATGTGCCATCCCCAAATATCACTTTTGATATACTCAATAGATATATTCCACTTGGAAGACCAAAAATAGTCGCTTCACCTTCTAAATAAGCCAAGATAAGTAAAGACTTCATTTCAAACACAGATAACATTTTAAATAATTTAAATAGTTCAATTTAAAAAAATAAAAGATATGATTTCAATTTTTTGAATTTTTATTTTTTTATTATGATATTTTAAATTGTTATTTATTATGTTTGTTATTATTTATTATCTAAAATCGTATAATAAGATAAAAAATGATTAATGAAAGTGGTTTAAAATTAGATACATTTAAAAAATATGGAAAAATAAAATATTTATTGTGATATTCAAAACTATTTTTTATATTTATAGCTGTTCGGTGACTTTTCAGTCCTATTGAATATCGCCGACTTTTTAGTGGTTTTAAAAGTCGCTGACCTAAATAATTAGTTAAATAACTATTCAAAATACCATTTATCATGTAAAAGATATTCAAAAAATAAACCATATAAATTTAATATAATTATTATTAAAAAATAAAATGAAACAATACCGTCCCAATCATATCTTCTCAAATCATTTTTTAAATTAAATTTATATGATTATAATATAACAAATTTTAATAACTATTGTGTTTTTACACATTTTTGAGACAATAATGAATATAGTATAATTTATTAAAGTTAATAATTATTTAGTTCTAAAAGAAGTCGGCGACTTTTGAAGGGATTCAAAAAGTCGCCGACTTCTCAGTAATATCAAAAGTCGCTGAACAGCCATTAAAAAGGAACAACT